TGGTCTTTTACATTTTCAAAAGTACATGGGGTCTGAATAATGCTCAAGCTGCTGTACATTTCAAAAGATGAGATCCACAAACAGTGGTGATATGTCCCCTTTTCATGGTGGCGTATGAATGCATGACAGCTTTCCTCACTTAGACACACACACACACACACACACCACAGACTGAGAATCTCAGGGAAAAAGGGCTGGTGGCAGGATGTCTGTGTGATGTAATCAGCAAGAATGCAAATAGATTAATGTTGTCAATAAAAGCAGACTTCCCAGAAGAAATTGGATTGTGGTTTTAATCAAAAACAAGGTGTTATCTAGCTTTAATCTGCTGTGGGCTCAGCATGTTTTCAGTTCTTGCTTACAAATTCTTTCCTCTGTAGTATCCGCGGAACATATCTCAACATAAGTGTATCAACCATATGATGTGAAGGATCTTTCCATTATTTACACTAACCCTTTCATCTCTCCACAGCCTCTGTGGTGTTAGATGATATCAGAAATAGTCAAACCTCGCTTGAACGATGTGTGCAGCGCGCATATCTCTGTAACACAGATCCTGGTGTTACTTTGTCTCCATTTTCTGATAAACGCGCCACAAATCAAAAAGAAATGTGTGCACGGAGGGGAGGACCGGCTGGAAAACAGCGTTTTTCAGCTCCGTGATTTGTTTGCTGGATTGAGATGCCTTTCACACCGTTTTTGCTTCGCTGTTGTCATTTTTCAAACAAAGCGCCCCACAAACTACTTATCATCAACATGAACACAACACGGCTTCTTTAAAGCGCGCTTCGGTGTAGCAGCTAAAGTGATTTCAGTGTGTGGAGAGTGGCAGGACAGACAAATCCGCTCTGTGACTGACTATTTAACCATGCATGGGGTTAATATGCAGCACCAACATACACAGCCAAATAAAAAAAAGACGTTCAGTTTGAAATTATTTCTTGTGCCAAATGTAGCTTTCTCAAAAGGAAAGGTCCATTTTACCAAAAAGGATCCTTGGCATCATTCTCAATCCTTGTTTTCTGACAGCTCACGTGTCAGCCATTCCTCTAAACCTACGTGCACAGCTCCCTGCCCGGGCTGTGAAGTGATGGGAAATCAACGGCAGAGACAACAGACTGAAGGGACAATTTCACCTTTGATACTGTATATCACACTCCAGCCATTCAAAGATAGCTGTGCTATGTGTGAAGTGCTGATAGTGTTATTACACTAGGCTGCTGGAGGAGGATGTGAGCAGGTCAAGCCCCCTTCTCTGCCGTTTTAACCTCTACCAATGGATTTCTCTGTCAGGGTTCTGCTATCTGCCTACCTGGAGACTTCACAGGAAAACGCTTTTCATTCATCCCTTTGCTGGGTTTCTTTCAGGTTTCTGTGTTTTACCGCCCGTCTTTAAACCGGTAAAGATTTCACACTCTTTGTTTACAACCCTCTTACTCTATAGTCTACTTCAGTCTATTTTCTCTCACCTTTTTTCCTCATTTTATCCGTTATCACTGCACCGGTCAGATATTTCTCCGCTCCATCTTTAGGGAAATGTGCTTCCCAGTCTTGAGGGTACTTGCTTTCCAATTAAATCGAGATGTATTTGCCTTTCAAAAGCTTCTCTTTTCTCAGTGTTTCTCCCATCGGAATAATTGATGGAGGTCTCTGGCCTCGTGATGAATGGCTTCCAAGTGTGGAGATGAATGGGGAAGATGAATGATTTCACCCCTGTGAGGGCTGGAGCAGGGTGGAACAAGGAGTGCTGACACGGTGACAAATACACTGACCATAGCAACCGAACCTGGATGAATCAGCGGGGGACGGAGGGGTGGCACGCGCTCACTGCGGCTCAACAGACGTTTTTTCTTGCCAACACTGCCTCTGCACGGCTGTCTACCCCACAGACAATTACCTGAGCCTGGCAATTAACTGCAGGCCCAGAGATAGAGCCGGCGGCCTGCAGCCGGCGGAGAGCAGGTGGAGGCGGGCCAGCAGACGCACGGGAGAGCACTGTGTCGCACGCCCGGGTTTGTGCTTTCTGTGGAAGAGTGGAGGCCAACGGAACAGGTGCAGTAAGGTGAGAAGATCCCCCAGGTGACTTCTGTGGGACGCTGCCACCGCCTCTCCAGCCAAGATTTGGAGGGATGAAACAAGTTTCTTTTTTTATCGGCGATACCTCACATAAGTCACCGTCAGACAGGTGTGAGATGGCAAACGTGTTCTGTGAACCATCTGTTTAAAAGGGCAGCAACTGACCAGAACAGAAGTAATCTGTTCACAAAGTGGAGTGATGAGTTGGTTTATCGGAACAGTATCTCAATGATTGGATGCCTAATTTTGTCCCGAACTCTTTTCAACTGAAAGCCGTATTCATTCCCTTTCAGGTGCTAAAATGTATAGAATTAAAACCATATGCATAAAAATGGGGTGCGGTTAATACGGGATATCCACACAGAAGTTTTCACTGTGAAACACTGAGTGAGTTTGAATGAAACGTGACGTCCAGCTGCAGGTTCTCCTCTGACTGATGCACAGTGAGGATGTGTGGTTGATATTAGCTGAGTGACAGAGTGGTGACTGATTACACCGTGCTAAATAAAATCCCATTGAAGCACACACTGTTTTTCCCGTCCCCTCCTGCTCTGCATACAGATGTGCAACTCCCTGATTAAAATCATCCTGAGTTAAAATAACAGCCCAGACGTGACATTTCTCCACTCTGTGTTCACTGGGTGTAAGCGGGTCCGCTGATTGTTAGAAAGCTCCATGTGCTGGTATATTTTTGGGATGTTGTTTTAGGTCATCATCCGAATTTATCCAAAGTGGATGAAGATCTGCACTTTCAGCAATTTTCTAAATGTTTTTGTCAGGTTTCATAGAGGCTTTTTTCAGACCAATGGTAGTTTAGCTATTTGAAATCCTAATAATAATTCTAAGGCAGAATAAGCCACATTGGAGATGTTAAAGCTGCCCGAGTCTCTGACATGTCAGAGACAGAGAGGAGAAACGTGATATGATGTAATCACTGTGTTTATTTTCTGCATAAACATACGTGTGAAGCCAAAATAGGAAATGTATTATGCAAGATATTTATTCAGCCTGAGGTGAATGTTTGTCTCATTTTAAGACGTATTTGTGACTTTTTCTTTCTTCCTGACTGTCACGCCATTGAAAAACAATGTCAATCTGCAGGACCTGAATGGTTTATGTCTGCAGATACAGAGCCCACTCACCCCGACGTCACACCTCCAATCATTATAATTACATTTTGACTTATTATCGTCAGTGCTCCATTGGTCATGAATTAGTATTGACAGTACTATAGTACTATAGTATTACAGTACTATAATGAAAGTGAAAATGAAATCTTTACATGGCGATTCATTGTGAACATCACAGAACAGCAGCGTGTCTAAACAGTTCCTCTCACAGTTTTTCCAAAGGCATTAATTACATTCTGCTGCCTTCCTCAGCAAACTGTTTGCCTTGTTGTCAGAGAGATAAACAAGTATAGGACGTAATTTAGTGGCACACAAAACTCCCACATGAACAGTCAGCAAATGGAATCCTCTTAGAGAGACTGTCAGATGTGTTTAAAAGCTTTTGTCCACTTTCTTAATGTAACAATAAACAGCTTATGGACTCGGTACGCTGGAGATTTAAAGGCAGTTTTGTTTCAAAGGTGCCTTTTAACATCTGCATAATTTGAGGTGGTGTTTTTTACTGTTGTGAGTTCAATAACTGATATTTGGCCATATACAATTCTCAACTGTCTCACTTTGGGAAACAGATTGAGATCATTTAATGTTCGCTCAAGTTTTTGCAAATGTTTTATATAAAAAAAATCTTTGAAACAAGTCTGATAATGGGGATCTGATCTGCTTAATTGACTCGTTTTGCCATTTGCACTTTTAAACTCTCTGTCCCTTGTTCCCAAGCTGTCAAACATTATTTCTCCATTCAATCAAGTCTTTTTCCATCATTTCAAATCTCACTTTTGCTGCCATTCTCCTTCTAAACTCTGCATCACACGGCCTAACTCGTCCTCCAGTCCACCTCATCCACTCTTCCAGACGCTACGGAATCTGGTGTCACAGCTGGCTGATGACCAGAGGTGACCCAGAAAGGCCGGTTATTCCTGTTTAATATTTATTCATTTTTGGAATGAATCTTTCACCTTATTAAACATTTAACCCAGTATAACATGCATCACCACCAATACCAAAGTAAGCTAGTCAGGATAAATGCGGACAAAGTGTCAGAGGAATGTGGAGGGTTTACTTCTGGATTCTCCAACATGAGATTCATGTCTGCAGATAGTCATAGAATAAAAATGACTGGCCTATCATAGAGCAGCTGTGCAGTTAAATCCAGCAATGGCAATCCCTTTAAACAGTGCTAATGCTTTAATTTATTCAGCTGATATGGTGGTGCTTTTGTGTCCAGGTGCTGTGCTTACATGGCCGAGGAACAAAAAAAATCAATGAATGAATAAATAAATATTGTGGAGGCTGACTTGACACTGAGTGTTTAATCAGAAAGCAGAGAACTGGAATTTTTCTGTATTCATCCTTTCCATTAGGCTGCCCGTTGATGTTTTATTTATCATAAAGTGGGTTGCTTTTCAATCTGTTGATTTTCCTCAAGTATGGCTGTGATTCACATTTGCCAATGGTTAATTCATTTCAAGAAAGGCTTACACATGAAAGTACTTTTCTTTCTTTACAAGAGTCTAGTGCCATGTTTTGGCCATTATAATAAAATGATAAGAGTAGTCTGCATTTCAATACCATCATTTTAGAAATGCATAAATTATAGCTGCTGTACATCGTGTAAAGCTGCGTCTAAAACTCTAGAAAAATGAATGTCCAAACGTGACTTAATGATCTCTCTGCGTGGTGGCACAGCCTTTCTTTGGCCGCCTCACATCTGTCCGCATCATTAGTTAGGAAACTGCTCTGGCTCTCTGCTGGGTGCCCCTTCATGTTCTAACGCTACAGTACGTTCCACAGTGGTCAGAGCCCAGGCCCAACAGGAGAAGGGCTGCTGTGCTGGGATGTGTTCTGGGCCGAGAGCTCTGCAAACCCAGGGATAAAAGCTTTGAGCAGTGAAGAGGAGCGGGAACACAAAGCGAGGGGCAGGCAGGGACTGGAGGGAGCTGAGCTCAGGGGCACGACAGCGGAGGATTCATTGAGATTAGATGGTGTAAATATCCTCAAGAGTTTCCTCAAAGAGGTGGTTTATTTCAATGCCTTATCTGCTATGGTTTATCCTTCACATAACGGCTGAACTGGGATGATGCGGTTTAGAATGGCTGCTCTGACCGGCCTTGTACCCCTGCTCTAAAACGAACAGGAAAAAATAAAATTAATAAATAAATAAATAAATAAATAAATAAAAGCAGTTCTGTCTAAATTATGAGTCGCTTTAGTTATTTCAACGGGTAACTGCAGTAACCTTTGCCAGCAGCCTGCTTGAATACAACATTCCTTAGAAATATGCAGATATAACTTTTATTTTAAAGCTCTTTTTTTTTAGAAAACATCAAAGCAGCAGCGGGATATTCCTGTTTTTTCAGGCTCTCCAGAACACGTGGCAGCATGGACAACATTTAGAGTATAAACTATGAAACTAATATATGACTAGGAAATAAGGTTTTTTGTGGAGATGATACAAATGTTTTGGCCAAATGGAATGTTTTGTGGTGCACAGCAGAAATGGCACTGGTCATTTTCTCTTTTTCCCTTTGTGTAAAGGCGGCATCACACTGGAAATACGTCTGGTGTTAAAAATCACTCTTGTGTGTTGAAATCCTCATAGGAAAAAGAGCACAACCACATCCAAAGGGCAACTATCCGATCAAACAACCTCCCTCTATTTTTAATACATTCCACGGAAAAAGCTATGCTTCTAATTCCACTCCCAAAGCTGAGGCTGTGCTCCCTAAGCACACGTTTATGCCCTTTTGTAGCTGAATTGTCCAAACAACTGGAGCTCCTTCGTGAATGTTGGCCTAATCTAAAGCACATTTCCACCAAAACAAGGTCCAAAATTCTCTAATGGCAGATGACAATGGGCCCAAGTCGTACACAATCTCCTCATCCTCTCCCTAACAAATCAGTCTGATAATCCAAAGGCTTACGCCACGTTCTGACAGAGGACACGAGTGATCTCATCACATCGGTTTACTTCCCTGAGCTGGAAAAGCAGCAGTCGCTCTTCAACAACTACTTCAGTCTCAGTCCTTGAAGAAGGGTATCTCCACAGACCGCGCTTTTCCCCGCTTGCTTCCAAAAAACGATCACGTCCACGGAGCATCATTAAAAACAGAACAGAACCAGAACAACACGCCGTACTGCACAGCTAGGGCCAAACTTCCTCAGGTACCGGTGGAAGAAACCCGACTGGTTAGAAACCACACACTCGTCCTGACAGGCCTCGCTGTCACACACCATCTCCTCTCACAGCTGAAAAAGCTCTGTGAGCAGCAACTTCTCTAACAGCAAAGGTGATCTCATTATAGTTTCCTCCTTCTTAATCTGCAGGCAAGGCACTTTTCTCAAAATAAACACGAAAAGTCTCCCTTTACTACTTTCTTCTCACTAAACGGTCCGGCTCGCTCTCATCCTCAGCGTCTGGTGGCTGCATGGGCTGTTTGCAGCTCTTTTGGCTGCTTCTGTTCCCCAGTATAGTCAGGGAGGAATTATACAGTTATGTGCAGACATGTGAAAAGTCCTCAGAGCAAGGTTACAGCTAACTTACTGATATTTCATGTTGCAAAGTCAAGAAAAGGGAGAAAAGGGAAAATTTAATCTAGTCTAATGTGTCCTTGTAGCAACGCTGCAGCCTGTGGATCTAAATGTCTCCACATTGGCTGAATTCCTCAGCACATCTTGTTTATAATTTTTTACATTGAAAGAAAAATACCATATCTATTAGCTTAACTGTTAGACTGATTAAAATAAAACCACATCAGACATGCCACAAAACATCAAACATTGATGATTACTTTTTGAGAAATATAGTTTTTCTCTTGAGATGAAAGGATTTGGATGAGAAAGTGAGGAACCAGTTCTGCATAGCCAGAACTATGAAATATGGTTTCACACCTGTGAGGTATTCTGGGTCGGGCACGGGGTCTGACAGCTCCTCGTGGCACTGAACCTCTGTTGGCACCGATGCCACCACCATGCCATCTGGGAGCTGCTGCTCGATGCCTCGGGCAAAGTTCTTCTGCCTGGTGAGAGGGAGGGTGAGAAAAGATTTAGAGTCAGAGACGTGAAGGCACACTTCATCAACCCGATGAGGACCAAAGGTGGGAGACAGGGGAAACAACAAGGTGAAGCAGAGCCCGATCAGTGGGCGGTGAGTATGTAGAAGGTAAGCACCATAAAACTAAAATGTTTTTGTTTTTTATGTGAATTCATTATAAGGGAATTTGTATCCACATCTGCTGATGTTTTGCCTCAAATTTGGCTTAACGGACAATTAGACAGATCCAAAAAGCCTATTACTACTAGTCACATAAGTAAAAAGAGCACTCCAATCTATAAAACAGCTTGCCTCCGCTGGGTCAAATAGACAAAAACATACATAATACTTATACAGAAGCTCACTGACGCGTGTCCATTAGTGTACTTAAAGGACAGTGACATAATTTAAATAAAAGACAAAACTCTATTACTGGAGAACATTGTCTTATTTTGTTGCTGCATTCCAACTACAATAGTCCTGTGAATTATCATTTTAGTTTTACTTAAAATACATTGAACATGAATATGAAATTACTTGCGTCCTTTTAAAAAAATGAGTCGTGCAGATGCACATCACAATCCATGGAAACTGACAAAACAACAGTATTGAAGCGAAATGTGCAGCTTGTTTTGTACATGTAGAAATTCCATACAGACTAAATTAAAAACATGAGCAAAACAAAGAGCTCTACGGTAGACACGGTAATATATCTCTGTTGTGAAACATGCTTCGTATTTAGATTCAAACAATACAATGTGCAAGCTTCACACTAATCTAACAAACGAATTGACTAAGATACAGTTTATTATGCAAAGTCAAAGAGTGAGAGAAGGTGGGGGGCTTACAGGGTGACGGAATATAAAGAAAACAGCAGACTGTAACACATAAATAGTTCTGACAGATCGTTAGACAATCAATACTTTATAATAATTATAGAGAGTTGCGTGCAGGTGAAAGGGTCTGATTAAGGACATTTTTCATTATGTTGATTGTTTTGCAGCACAGTGACTCACATTCAGGGGAGGGCTGTCTTATTTTCCTATTTATTCTGAGACTCCAGGTTGAACTCTCTCATTCTCCCTCTCAATGCCAGTTGGGGTCGCAAAAAGGTTCCCCTACACAATGACTTCAATAAATCGGTAAGATGAGTCGTTTAGTTTTCCGGCGTCCAAAGAAAATGAGTGATTATTCCTTTGCTTGAGTAGGAATCCAAAGAGACAGTTATTTGGACTCCAGGTCATAACTTGAGAATGCACTTTGTGACCTTACACAAGAAAAGATTGCAGCTTTTTCCTGACCATCAATGTGAGGCGAAAAAGAGTCAAGGTTTGAATTCAATGTTCTGTCCATAAAGAAGGAAGCACATGGTTGGCATATTTTCACACAAAGCCTTCTCATCATTTTGGTGTCAGGGAGGTCAGGCCTGACCACAGACGGTAGCAAGAAAATGCTCCCGTTACCATTGGAAACTGTTCTAATGAGATTATCAAACCAAAATGCAATGATAAAACACGGTTTTCTGTCCTTTAAAATGTAGGCAGACGTGTGAAATGTAGGACTGGCAGCAGCTGTCTGAGCCCAGTGGAGGGCTGGAAAGCTGAAAAGCAGTTTGGTTTCTGCAGCCAGAGGAGGAAAGCTGCCAAAAGCAGAGAAAAGAGCAGGGACTGTAGGCACTGTCAACACCTGGATAGGAGCACACACTTCATATTCTGACAGGTGTAAGAATGTTAGAGGATTTAGATGCTCTTTGTATGGAATATGTATCAAACAAACAGATTAGTTCATAGGCTGGCTCTGAAACTCAGAGTTTTGAGTTGCTCATCATGTTAAAACACTTTATATTGTATAACATGTAGAGCAATATAATATGCAGACAGGTTAGGTTTCCTGTTTATGCTGATATCCAAAGCTAGACAGAAAACTAACTATCTTTAAAAGACCAATAAAGACAGAGCTCCATTCATGGGTAGTCTGTAAAATCAAACCAAACGAGATGAGTGAAAAGCATAACTTTCCTTTTTTTCAGGTATTTTCTTCTCTTTCTGCTGCTCTAAAACTGCCCCATTCCCGTTGTGCCGTGGTTATTTCCAGCTCCAAACTGTATCTGACACAAGATATTTAATTAGGCAAGTAACACTCCGAGCAAGTGAATTAGATTAAATTGATGTTTTTGCCTAGTTTCGGCCCACTTTACGACAAGAATATATTTATTGCAAATAAGCAAGGATAAGTCTTTTGCCTTGTAAACATGCATTTCAGTGCTCATTAAAAACACCAGAAATGTCCTCGTGCCTCACACTGGCGACAGTTTTCCCTTTTATTATCACTGTGCATAATGGACAGTTTGATTCATGCAGTGTTTGAGGGGCTGAGCCGGAAAAGGAGACCAAAACACAAATATTTACAGATCCCAAAGCGCTGCCTTTGGGAAAGTCGCAGCGTGGCACAGCCCGAGCCCCTGGCTGAGGTAGGGGCAGTCCGGGGGGGGTGGGGCCACAGACAGAGTCCTGCAGCTCCAGCCACCAGCGGGGGGACGCCACTGTGGGTGAACCTGCAGAAGCATCATCGACCATAAGAGGCTCCTCTTTGTTCCCCGACTGCTGCTGGAGAGCTCTTGATTGGCCATTTACTCACAGTTATGGACACCTTTGCCCTCACTTTGGGACTCTGTGAATATCTACTGTTGTAGACAAATACAGCGCTCCTTTCTGTGCCTGTAAACGCTCCCTGGGGGGAGGGGGTGGGTCATCCTTGTGATACTCAGTTTGTCCTAGTTGTGCTATGTTTTGGATTTTCAATGCATTTCACAGTTAAAAAAAACATGCTTCCCATGGTCAGTGAATGTGTTAGAGTCCATACTTACTCCTAAATTACATTTTAAGCTCTTATGCTTATAGTGGCCAATATTATAAGGAAACTGGCCCCAAGTCATGGTGGCAAAGATGAGCTGTGAGAGGATGGAGTGGTATGGATACACGTGATGTCGCCTCTTAAGGCCTGAGACATCCACAGGGTGGGAAGAAACATAGAGGATGGGTTTCAACTCCTGAGGAATTCTGGGAAGTTCTCTAAGATGTTTAACTAGTTTAGATTTCTCTATCTTTAGTTTGTTGTTTTTGGTTTTTCCAGTCCAGAACGGATCACCGGTTTGCACTGAAACATAGCTTGTTATGAGCTGCTACATTTGGACCCAAAAACAACAACAAACAAGCTTGGCTGGGATTGTATTACAGCAGAGACACACATCTGTCATCTTCTGCTGGAAGTAATTACGCATGATTTCAGCTGTCACTTTAACCGAGCACACAGATTGGGAATGTAATGACTGAATCTGAGTCGCTCTGCAGAAGAGGCTGAGATTTTCTTAGAAGCTCGCTAAATGCTACATGAGCCTGGATTCGTTCGTTGCATTGGTGTCTGACAATTTTCACAGTTAATTTTGTTGGAGGATGATGTGTAACGTTTAACAACCATCTGGCACCGGGAGGATGTCATCATTCATTTCTCCTCTTGAAGTTCAAGCAACGTTTGTGAAGCTGCCAAAACTTACCAAAGCTTACTTTGTTTATCTATTTCTGTCTTTCTTTTCCTTTTTTTTTTTTCAAGAGGGAGTTGCAGAGAAGCAGCAACCGGTTTGATGAATTATTAAAATGGGAGATGTGACAAAACACTTGGACACTTTTGTTTTGCATCAACAACCTTTTCACTTTTGTCTGTTTCTCTCTCCGCGGTCCCGTCCCCCCCAACAAGCACAATGTTGAATAAACTCCCGGCTTTCAATAACAGACAATGACGGCCACCGGCAACCAGCCCTCCCACCGCCCCCCCACCCTCCATTAGTCTGCAGCAGGCACACTTCATTTTTTAATTAACTGAGTCGATGGAAGTATTTCTCTGGAGGGTGTCATGCTCAGGGTGTGGTACGGCAAACTGCAATGCAATAAACATTTAAGATCAGAGTTTAAAAAAAGAAATCAAAAGGAGGCCTGGAATGAGTGGATGGGGGGGGGGCTGAGAGAGGGCTGTCGGGTTACAGTGCGGTGCTACTCATTGATCCCAAACAGCAGGCACAATGAGAACAAAAGGGACTAAAATATTCATTAAAACCTGCCCTGAGCTTGTCAAGTGCGAGAGGAAGAGTACGAAGAGGAGAAGGAGGACAGTTAGGAGTAATGAGGGGAGGTTAGCTTTTTAGCATCTCATTACTGAAGTCCACTGGCTCTCGCAAAGGCAGGAAGATAGAAGCCCTGTCACTGAGCTCTGTAATCATATCCAGCCTGGTGCTCCCGGGATGCCGCCCCCTGATAGGACCCCCCCCTCTGAGCACGGGCACCGGGCTCATGTCGCTCTGCAGCCGGGAGCATCTTCTGCCCCACCGCTCTCCAAATCAAAGAAACAAACCTTGTGCTTTTAAAAAATACAAAAAACAACAACCTTCCAGCTCAGGGAGGTTGGGATCTATTTCCCTGGTTTCAGGACTGGTGGACCTCAAAGCTGGACTATAAGGGAGCTGTGCTGGGTAATGGGGGGGGGGGGTTACCAGAGCTTTGGGACACACAGCCGGAAAGGCCACGGCTTAGTGTGTGTGGAGGTGTCGGCACAGGCTTTTATGTGCATACCTGCACACCGTGGCCATTTTCCCTTTTTCCTGGTGTCGGTCGCTCTCATCCCGCTGCCTTTCTGCTGCCGCGCCACGCAGTGCAAAGAGAAACGCGCACGGGGGCCACAGAGCAAATCTATTTCCCACCACAGACACACAGCACAAACAAGAATGCACACACACACACACACACACACACTGACAGACACACACACACACACAGAAACACATTCACACAGAGCAGGCTTATATTCTAGATAAATAAAACATTAGACAAAGGGGGAACAGGGGGGGGGGGGGCATCACACTTTTTGTGTCTGTTTACATTTAGTTCCTTCCTTCTGTGGATGAAAAGGGGATTCTGTTTCAGGAGGAGGAGAGAACAAAAACAAATAAGTATTTTTTGTCTAAAACAAAGAAAAAACTAAACAGATATCGATGCTGGGACAAAACTCAGAAAGGCTAACGCGGTGAATTTAGTTTGGAGTGGAAGAAAAGTAAAAAAATAGCAATTCTCCACTGGCGATTAAATTTTGACTTCTCCCTTTGACTGAGTGATGGAGACAGATGCTTGGTGCCACTCCAGCGCAGTGGGGATGGCGTTTGAAGGGGTGCCAGTGAGCATCACATGAAGGTTTTCTTTATCTCCTCCCTCCTCTCAGCGCCTCCTTCTCTCAAAGGCAAACAGGATGTCTAATCAAGACGTGCAAGGACGCGGGTCACAGAGCTGGTTCTCCTGCATATTTCACTATCTAATGACTAAGTCAATAGCTGTTTGCAACTTTGCATTTTGATTTCCTCAAGTGGCTTCTTGGAATAAGTATATGCTTGTTGGTGTGAGGGGATTCTGTGACTGGAGGTGGTCTGGGTGAGGCATGCTGGGAACTTGGAGGCTGGAGTTACTTCCTGGTTAATGTGCCCTCCGGCAAGGTGAAATCTGTACTTTCTAAATATTGTCTGGGATTAAATAACTGCAAATGGTCTATAACGGTAGTCCATAACAAGCCCTTACTGTAAGTGGATCATCTCACTGACAACATAAATCACTCTATCTATCATCAGCTTTGATGTTAATCAGACATTTCAGCACACACTTGTTAATGTGTCAGATACACTTGATGGATGTTAATTTATACCAATAAAACTGCAATTCCACACAAAACTAACATTTTTCACTTAGCCAGTAGTTTTATAAAGTTTGTCTATCTATCTATCTATCTATCTATCTATCTATCTATCTATCTATCT